TTTATATAGATAGATAGAAGACGACCTGCTTTAGTTTATCCTTACAGAAACGCAAACTTAGGTCGTCGTACTCGTAGCGCCATCTGTTGGACATAAAAGCCTTAACCTAGATGATATCTTTTAATTTATATGAATGTTTACCGGAATAACATACAGCCTATGTTCACCCTGAACTTCCACTGTAAATGTTCGTGAAAGAATTTTCGAAATCGGATGAGTAGTTTCGGAGATTACCCGCTACATCCAAACTTACAAACATTACCTCTTTATAATATTAGTATAGATAAGCTTAACCTCATTAACCTAACATTTCGTTTTTTCTGCAAAGCACAAAAAACAACCACAAAAATTTTTAAAAATTTTAATACACCAGTTTATTAAATGCATTTCTAAAAAATTTTAGCATAAAATTTTATTTCCTTTATTATGTATTATTTTGAAACAAAAATTGCAACGGATCACGTGACACGCGCCGCATTTCTGTGTACCGAGATAAATGTCCTTCAGAACAGCTGTCGGTAGCCGTTCGCGGGACATTCTCATACAAATCTCAGGGTAAGACGTATTTCTAGATAGATATTTATCAGTTACCTTAAATAATAAAATACATCACGATTTTTTCGATTCGATATACTATCTCTATAGATAAGGATCAACAAAATGGTCCAAAAAGAAATTTGTATCGGGTGTAAATTTACGAAACTTGCTGAGGTCATAAACAACATCCAATAGAATGCAAATAAGCTTTATTTAAATTATTTCCAGTAACGAATAGTTACGTACGATTATTTAAATTTGTACGAGTTATCTCGGGTCCGGACGGCTTAAAAATGAAACATTTAGTTTTGATAATTATTAAATAAATTGATTCAAACTAGCATATTGTACCTATAGATTACAGAACTTACATTAATTTTTCCACAGAACGAAACTTTTGTTCTTAATTAAAATCTCAATGGAAGTTATGAAATCAACAGGGGGAGGAAAACTGTTAATTAAGTAACACTTCATAAGAAACATTTATTATAATATAATTAACTTTTTCATCACGGCACTTAAGCTAAGTACGAATATGTTTACTATATGACACACGAGTTGAAAAAAATTCGCCATCCCTCCAATGGAGTGTTTACTTAGAATGTAGTGGATAAAGTAATTTTATTTTAAAAAATTTTAATATTATTTTAATATAAAGGACATCATCTGTTTATGTGTATGCAAGTGAAATGTCTAAAACTCTTACTATTTTTATCCACTCCAGGTGAAATTCTGTTTCGTTGCTCTTTATGTTACAACAAACAGTAGAGACTGCTTTATTTGAAAAATAAAATATTAGCAACTAGTTTTAAATTTCTTTAAATCTCTACTCTTCCTATTTTTTAATATCTAGTTTCTCATAAAAAGTATTTCGTGATGATTAACAAGGGAATTTCAATTAGGCCTATATTGCACTACAGTAAATAAAAAAGTACATTTTAAATACAATTTATATATGTTTAAATTCTATTTTATGATAAACTAGAAATGAATTATAATTTATTATTTTTATAGTAATTTTTATTTACCATTAAAACTATAAGAGACTCATTTTAAATGATTCTTGAAAAAGTCGATTTAATAATTCATTCAGAAACTCACATTCAAAACATTTAATTTATTACATACATTTTTTAAACATTAAAATATTACATCTTTATTATTCGGTTGAAAATTCAAAGAAAAACTGTACAAAATAAGTCGAACAAATTTCTAATTTGTTTCAATGTAATTATTTTGGTTTGTAAGGCCCAATAACCTTGCGAAGTTCATCCAATTCCGGAATTCGTTCCCATTTTTGGTTGATCGTAATCAGCTGCAAAATATATGTTTAATTAAAATTTATATTTAAATTTGACTCAAAATTTATTTTTCGATAGTTTTAAAAAGTCATTTTGTTCATAATATCTGTTTAATAATAATACAATTTCCAGATTTTTAATTTACTTTTTCATTCGTATTATTTCTTCAACAGGAAAATTGTAGGTCTTACACACTTCTAATTATCGTATTATTCTAATTTATACTTTAAAAGTGGTATTTAAAACTATGACTTTTTAAAAGAGAATTGATATTAAGTATATATAAAGTAACTATTATACAGGAAAACTCTTGTTATTTCTATAACAGGACTTTTCTAAATAAACTGCTTTTGATAGAGTTAATAAATCAAACTTTTTAATACAAATAAAAATCCGACCTTCTGTGGTTTCTCAGGATCCACCAATTCCCATCTCGGACATCCTCCTTTTACAAATCTGTAATTTTATATTACAATAAATACGTTATTTAATTTATAATTCTATACATTTATAATTATCAATGTCAAAAGTAGATCAGTAATGCTAATCATATCGTATGCTTTTTCCAGATTCAAAAACAGGGCAAACACTTTATGTCTTTTTTTCAGCAACTGGATTTGAATTAATGACAGCAAAACAAAGAGGGCTGTCTGAGTACCTCCCCCTTCTACAAATGCAAATTGTGTATTATTTCTATATTTATTCACCGCTGTCCAGTAATTAAATTTATTAGCTAATATTGCAGTGAACACTTTCCGTAGACAAGACAGCAGGGCTATTGGTCTGTAATTGGCTGGTTCCTGTTTGTTCCCTTGTTTAAATATCATAGTAAAAATAACTTCGTTCCACTTTGCCGGTATTATACTATTACTGTAAAATTGATTAAATTGTCTAGCTAAACATCTTATGATTTCTATTGGCAACATTTTAATGAGTGAATTCGGTATTGTGTCCGATCCCGGAGTTGATTTGTCTTTAATATTTTTGATACATTCCTGTACTTCTTCCATCTTGATTATCTCATCTTGCTGAATTTCTGGTCTTGTCTTAGTACCCATATATTTTTTACAAGCATTTTTCTGATAATTCTCAGAGAATTTATTGTAGTATTTAAGCCAAGCATTGTATTCTACTCTAGTCTGTTTTTCCAACCCTGACTTTCTTTTTCGAAAACTATTAATTATTTTCCAGAATACTCTCGAATCATTAGCTTCTGATAGTTTCTTACTGATTTTTGAAAAATATAATTTTTTCTTGGCTTTAATTAGATTGTTATACATTTTTTTATATTTTAAATAATTCATTAGTGCTTTACTGGTATTTGTTCTTCTAAAGATTTGTAAACACTTTTGTTTTTTGATTTTGTAGCCATAACATGTACTATCATACCATTCACATTTGAATATTTTACCATTTTGTTGTATACAATTTTTGTATCTATATTCCTCTAATTTAGTTATAATATTTCGATAATTTTCTATTGGATCATTTTCTTTTTCTAATGTTAACATCTCTTCAATCATATCATCAAATTCATTTAACATTTTCCGTTTGTTATATGATGGTCTTAATTCCAGATTAATAGAATGACTCTGTTTATAATTATATATATTTTTTCATGTATTATTAGCTCTAACTGAATAGGAAAATGATCTGCAATGTCGTTTTCTAGAACCTTCAAATAGTTACAACAATTTATCATTTCTTCTGAGCAGATAATGTAATCTACTATAGATTTCCCACTTGAGAGACAAAAGTAATTTCTGCAGGGGTGTCTCCTCTCATTCTACCATTTAGAATTATTAGTTGGTTATTATCAATAAATTCTAGAAGTGCTTTTCCCCCTGTATTTAACACTTTATCTTTGGATATTCTCTTATTGACTAAATTTTCAAACGTCTGACAAAATATGGTATCAGTAATTTCACTAATACGTGCATTTAAATCACCACCTATTATCCACATTTGTGTCAGATTTGACCATCTATCCAAGACCTTTTGTACTTCATTTAGAATTGGTTTCTTCTCAATAGAAGGTGGTATATATATTCCTATTACTCCCATATATGTGTATGTCCATCTCATTTTTATTTTATTCTCTAATTTTATTATAACAGCAATGATGTAGTCCGTTGTATATTGTAGGAATATATCACCGAATTTTTTCTTAATTAATAGTAGAATTCCACCTGATGGACGTCCAAATTTATTTTTGCGTTGAGCATTACTAATTATTATATTATTGTCTTGTTCCAGATATTTTCTTTCTATTTCACTAAATTTTATAATCCAGGTTTCTAAAAATCCAATTATTTCATTTGAATCCAGAAATTCTCTCATTGAGGTTTTAAATAATTTCCCTCTTAGTCCTTGACTATTCCAGAAGTTTATCGTCACTGTAACAGGCGAAAGCCTTATACGACAATAAACAATTTCAATTCAACAATTCAATTCAACAATGTCAAAAGTAAATATAAATTAAAACGTAAGAATAAAAAATATATATATTTAAAGTAATAAACATTTTGTATGTTAAAAGACAAACGTTCAATTCATTTAATGTAAAAATTTGACATTTTATGAAACGTCACATACCTTGCATCTAAGTTGTAAAATAAATGATATAAAACCGAAGAGACCATTCCAGTCGTAGCGGCTGCTGTAATAAAAACCAATGGAACAAGCTGTAAAAAATCAAACAANTTTATGTGCATGCAAGTGAAATCTCTAAAACTTCTACTATTTTTATCCTCTCCAAGTGAAATTTTCTTTCGTTGCTCTTTATGTTACAACAAACAGCGGACTGCTTTATTTGAAAAAATAAATATTAGCAGGTAGTTTTCAATTTCTTCATAATTTTAAATCTCTAGATTTTCATAAAAAATATTTCGTCATGCTTAACATACAATTTCTAGTATATTGCAATACAGTAAATAAGGAAATATAGTACATTTTAAATACAATTTATGTATGTTTAAATTATTTTTTGTGATTATAATTTATTATTTTTATAGTAATTTTCATTTACCATTTAAAGCTATAATAGTATTATAGACTCATTTTAAATGATTCTTGAAAAATCCGATTTAATAATTAGTTCAGAAACTTACATTCAAAACATTTAATTTATTACATACATTTTTTAAGCATTAAAATATCACATGTTTATTATTCAGTTGAAAATTCAGATAAAACTGTACAAAATAAGTCGAACAAATGTCGATAAAATTGACAAATTTCTAATTTGTTTCAATGTAATTATTTTGGTTTGTAAGGCCCAATAATCTTGCGAAGTTCATCCAATTGGGGATTTCGTTCCCATTTTTGCTTGATCGTAATCAGCTGCAAAACATATGTTTAATTAAAATTTATTTTTCGATAGTTTTAAAAAGTCATTTTGTTCGTAATATCTGTTTAATAATAATACAATTTTCACATTTTTAATTCACTTTTTTCATTCGTATTATTTTTTCAACAGGAAAATTGTAGGTCTTACAATCTTCTAATTATCGTGTTAATCTAATTTATACTCTAAAAGTGGTATTTGAAACTATGACTTTTTTAATAGAGAATTGATATTAAATATATATAAAGTAGCTATTATACAGGAAAAGTCCTGTTATTTCTATAACAGGACTTTTCTAAATAAACTGCTTTTGATACAGTTAATAAATAAAACTTATTAATACAAATAAAAATCCATATTAAAATCCTACCTTCTGTGGTTTCTCGGGATCCACCAATTCCCATCTCGGATAGCCTCCTTTTACAAATCTGTAATTTTATATTACAATAAATACGTTATTTAATTTATAATTCTACACATTTCTAATTATCAATGCCAAAAGTAAATATAAATTAAGACATAAGAATAAAAAATATATATATTTAACCTAATAAACATTTCGTATATTTAAAAGACAAACGTTCAATTCATTTAATGTAAAAATTTGACATTTTATGAAACGTCACATACCTTGCATCTAAGTTGTAAAATAAATGATATAAAACCGAAGAGACCATTCCAGTCGTAGCGGCTGCTGTAATAAAAACCAATGGAACAAGCTGTAAAAAATCAAACAAGTCATTTACTTTTTATTCAAGCAATTTGTCATAAATATTTCTCTAATTAATCATATAGGAAATACAGCATTAACGAGTTACTACGATACGAATTAAAATTTAATTGTTTATTACCAGTTTGTGTTAGAAAAATAAAAAGTATTAACGTCGGTTACTAATATTAAAAAGTCCCAAATACTATTAATTGATAAGAGAAAAGAGCATCGATTGCCCATCACTTGCACAATGTGATTATTTACAATTACTTTTATGACTGCATTGTGAAAAGCATGGTTTAATATAGTTATTAAATACATATTTATATGTTTATCATAATTTAACGATTTTCTGCAAATAACTTTAATACATTCTAACGACAAGTAAAAAAAGTATTCTCGTTTTCTTTTTACTTGGATCATTTAAAAATGTTTAGGAATAAATATCGAGTTTAATAAATATTTTAAAATGTAGCAAGTTACTTTTCAATTATTATCTTATAAATAAACTAAAATACATACCTCTGGATGTGTTCTCATTGTGCGCAAAGAAAATAACTTTCTCAAACTGTCCATTAAGGGATCCCGTCCGGGGTAAGTACCACGAAACTTTTCAAAACCCATTTCTACTTTATTCTAAAATTAAAAAGTGTATTGGAAATTAACTTATTGTCAACAAAACAATTCTTATGTCTAATATACTTCAATTACCTACGTAAATTTTAAAATTAAAGTTTTTCTAATGTATAAAGCCTAAATTCAACGTTTATTTACGAATCTGAACTATGTAAACTGTTCCTATTCAAGGAAAAGTAGAGGAAAGTCTGTTCTTAAAAACACTTTAATTTCGAGTTGGCTAGGTACTAGTTATAAATCGCCATCCTCGTTACAAATCGTACTGCCAGAGAAAAACATAATTCAGAAACTNAACTGAAGTCGATCACGTGCCTCATTTCCCACGAATAACGTATAAAAGCTCGAGTCCCCGGAAGCTCAGGGCGATCCCTCGGAAGTTATACTTGGTAGATGTGCCATATTTGTCTCCATACTCCGGACCGAAAGGACATACGACCTACCACAGCTGTTTGAACTTCCATCGCCATTAACGAACATATTCAACGAACGCATATTAGACATATCTGCATAGAGGTATTTGTACTTTTTAGAGATTTGTGAACTCTCTCTCAGACTAGAGGTAAAGCTATTAGAGCGTCCCTTTTGTATAGTGAATTTATTTAATCGCATATAACTTATGTATCCTAGCTTAGTTATATAAATAAATGCTTGTTTTGTTTTTAAACCTGTCTCCTGTCTCTGAAGGACACCTGCCGACTTACCGACGCACTCCCCACTCAAATTTTTGCCCTCCTAGCCATCCGACAAGCCGAGAACCAACCTGTTGCAGAGTAAGTGGTCATTTGGCCCACTGCTAATCTCACACTTCAATTACCTACGTAAATTTTAAAATTAAACTTTTTATAATGTAAAAAGCCTAAATTCGACGTTTATTTACGAACCTGAATTACGTAAACTGTTCCTATTCAAGAAAAAAGTAGAGGAAAGTCTGTTGTTAAAAACACTTTAATTTCGAGTTGGCTAGGTTCTAGTTATAAATCGCCATCCTCGTTACAAATCGTACTGCCAGCAAAAGACATAATTCAGAAAGTCGCGATGCCTCACAACCAAGAAAATAGATATAAGAGATATATAAAAGAAACGAAATGAATTGATACCTGTTGTCTGAAAATGGTTGATGGTGGCGACGATGCAGTCAGTCTTCGTTGGCGATCTCTTCGTTGAAATCTATACACGAAGTCCTACACAGAAAGGAAAGGTTTCACAAGTGATTCGAATTCACGGTTCCACCGGTATATACAGTATCCTTTCGTTTCTTTATGCAGCGAGAGTGTAGCGAAATGACGTCACGAGAAGAGTTGGCCAATTACAAACCAGTTCCAGTGTGTCGCTGCATAAAGAAACGCGGTGTAAGTGCTTTTGTCCGTCCTCCCCCGCTGGGTTTCACACACCTCTAAGCAATATTTCGTCAGTACAAAAACCATTAGAAAAAACACAAAAGAGAACATTCTAGAAACGCATGTGAACAATGAACAATGGTCCCGTTAACTAGAAAAGCCTCTTTGTTAAAAGATAGTTAATCTATTTCGCTTTAAGTTAAGTTAGCAGATGTAGCGCTAAGCTGCCAGGTTCACAACGCCCAAGATAACTTAAGATGGCTGCCACCATAAATTATACGTATCACTTGTACTATGTGTCAAATGAAGTTTGTCACATACGAAATTCTATTTTAAACTGGTTATCGAAGAAATTAGAAATGTAGTCGTCCACATAATCTTCTGTTCCGACATAAATATTTTCCGATTTATTATTAACGGTAGGCGTTCCATTGTTGTTGTTTACAGTTTTACGCAATGTCGTATTTTCTTGATCGACTGTTTCCGAGATTTTACAGTTTCGTCGACAATTACGCGTCGTTTTTAATTAAATAATTTTATTCGTTTAAAACAACGTATACAAAGAGCCCAACAACAATAACAAGTAGCCCAGAGGTACAAGTGTTTTCCACTAAAGCGGAAATTGGTTGAAGCGACCTCCTGCAGCTTAACTAAAGTAGCTTTACGCTCCATTAAATTTAAAATCGAAAATAAAAGATTTCATTAATCATTAAAAATGCTTTTAATTCCGAACGAAAACTGAAATGTCGTTGTTATAATTTTTTAAACAAATAAATATTTATAAAAACATTATAAACGTTTCCACGAGCAAAGTAATGACACAACGGGCAGACAGGCACCATGAATTTTGATTAGAATGAGTTAAACGGATCACCGTGGATTTCAATAAAATTTCGTTTGATGCGCCTTCAATTTTAGGATATTTTATTTTATGCGGTTCCCTTAGATTTCAAACAGTAAAAATTATCTTTGATTTTTATACATAAAGTTTTTGGTGTGTCCTCCATTTTGGATAATGAGCATAAAGAGAAATAACGCAGTTTCACTCAGATGATGTTTATGGCTCATGTTGTGTATGGAATGGAGTCAATAATCAACTGATCCGCATGGGCGTAGCTCACTTGAAAACAACTTTATGATCACACTGTATAAAAAAAAAGTTAAATAAATTCATGTAATGTATTTTTATATAACTTTTTTATCAGTGAAATCTTTTTATTTGTNATATTTCTCGTGTTTCTAAATTTATTCTATTTCAACATTCCTGGTTGTAATTCTTATCTCTGGGGCGCACTCAATATTTAATCTTGGGCAGCCGAATTGACCGGATAAAGCATTTTTTAATGAGAATTCAGTAAAAGTTTCATCTTATTTGTCGGATAATTTATAACTAATATAAGAACAGAACACACGACACGATATAAATACAGTAGAGCATCGATTATCCGACGCCCGATTAACCGTCACATCGGTTAACCGAACGTTCTAGTCCGTAAATTTCAAATGTCCGCTAGTGATGTTTATTACAATATTTGGCTATGTCTTGGCTACTTTAATATTATTTTTGTTAAATTTTTGCGTGCTTTAGCTGGCATCTTCGGATCGACCATTGAAGGGAGGGCAGGAATTAAAAACGAGACTTAATTTTCTAATTATGAGTGGTTGTTTGTTTCGTGGGCAATAAGATAATTTTAAAATAATTTTTAACGATACAATAGAGACGATTATTATTTTTAAAAAATTTGTTAGGCTAAACATCGATTAAAATTCGACGCGAAGTTGGTTAATAGCGATATACTAATAAACTAATTACATGGGATATACTAATATCCTAATATACTATAGTAATAATGTATTTTTTCCTTCTTTTCTATTATCCGATTTTTTCAGTTATCCGACCAACCCGAGTCCCCAATTGAGTCGGATAATCGATGCTCTACTGTAAAAATAGATAAATTTTGATAAGAAAATACTTATGGAAAATTCACTAATGTTTCCTTTTCTGTTACTTTGTAAGGTGTTTGAGTCCCTACACCTAACCCCATCGGTGGGGGGATTACTCATGCTGAAGTTATTTCTACGAATCAATTCGTCTTATCGATTCCAATTCTTTCGAATCTTTTTTCAGCTTAAGTACTGTAATTTTGTCATTCTCACTTAAACGGCTAATATCGTCAGCTGTACTTAATTGAACCTACACTAAATGTGGCTTTGAGACGCTTGGAAAAGAAACATGGTGCAAGTCGCACAAACATCACAATACAGTTTTTATATGAGAAAACAATCAGATACACTAATATGTTCGTATGTGTAAGACAAACATCTGAATACAATTACGAGTAAAACTAATTACTGTATTTACATTCTATCAATGTCTATATCATACTCAAAGGTCACTTTACAAGACGACGGAGATTCTTTGCCTCGTGTTGAAAGTTAGATTCCGATGGAAATTTGCCTAGTTGGACAGGCGATTTTGAATATAGATTAACAATGGGCGAGGGCAACAGTGCCTAAGATTCGGTTATCAGTTACACTCATAACTGAACAATGGAGTCATCAGATATTCTTCGCGTTACCATTCTAACTGTCAGAAGCCCGGGAGCAACTTGCATTACAAATCGAATTTGTAGTGTAAGTTACTTCCTCTTATATTTTGTCTAACAAATGGCTTTACACATCTAGAATGAGATTTATAATTCTCTCTTAATGTAAAAATATATCAATCACTCAATACATCTCATTATCTTTGTTATAGTTCAGAGCGTAATTGTCCCTACGATGTATAAGCTTTTATCTATAAACTTAATTTAATTTTATTAATAGATTATAGCTTGTCGCTCACGTAAATTACAAAGGGATATAAAATTTGGGTTTATTCTTTTCCGGCTGGTGATAAAATCGAAATTTTTATTCATCTTTAAACGAGATGATCATCTCAAAACACGAGAATATTAGGTTTTTACCCACATTAACGTGGCAACGCAACAATAAAACTCTGTGTAGTAACAAATTGTCGGAGTTTTATTGTTGCCAGCGGTCGTTGATTGTTATTGCGAACGGTTGGATTTTTAGTTCGTGCTGTCAGAATTTTCTCGTTTCGAGTGTTTTTCTCAGTTTCGTTTCGTTTACGTCGATTTTATCGGTAAGTATAGACTACGATGTTTCTAATTTTACGTATTTTTGAACATTCTTAAGCCGAATATCACAATTAGTGGCAATGATTTTCCGACCAATCTCTATTTCCATAACAATTGATCGGTCTCGAAACGAATTATATATCGAACATTAAAATTACTATATTTAACAGAGATTTTATTATAATGTTCATTTGTGACTTTTTGTTTATATGTTTAAAATGATTTTTTTCATTAGAAATCTTACAATTTACATAAAATGAAATTAACAAAACCAATGATTTTCATAATAGTCGTTTGTTTCTTTTGCAGAATGGATAATTTCAAGGAATTAAAGAAGTGGCGCACTTCGGCAGATGGTGAGAAGGAAGAAGGCTCGTCGTCGTCTTCCGCTTCGTTTCCAGTGATTCGGGTGCTCCCGAAAGATGTCGAGGAGAGCGGAGAGTGCACCAAACGGGTGGTTGTCATTACTCCCGACGATAGCGCCTCGACTGTGGTCGACTACCTGGGACTGCGGTACCCGGAAGTTGCAGAATGGACGGTGGAGTGTCGAGGGGAGTCCAAAGTGATGGTCGAAACATCCGTCAAGCAGAAGAAACCTTGGTGGAAAAGGCTCTTCTTCTGCTGCGTAAAATGAAAATTTTCTCTTCCGAGGTCACTTTTCACCGGATATGACTCTGCTACCCGAATACGACTTTGTCACCCGGAAATGACGTTTCACCCGGCTACGACTTAATTTACTGGACTTGACATTTCATCCCGGATTGGTTTTTTTTCGCTTTGAATTGACGGACAGACATTTCTGCACTGGTTTTGTTCAACTTCGATTAGATTAAAGTCCATAGAACAACGACAGTCTGATTATCTGCAATGTGACAAGCAAAACATAAAACAAAACATTATGTTACCAGTTTAAAGACTCTGTTAATCGTCTATAAACGGACAAGGCAACTTATACTGTACGGACATTCAAACTGTATTTAAACCGGTGTTCGACTGTCATTGTGGTCAGTATACGTCCGAACCAGAATTAAAATTACTTCAACAATTAAATTTGTACATCGAATTGTCTGAAGTGTATTTAAACTTTCATATTTAATAAACTTTAATGTGAAATTTAATTTTTAAGATTGCATATTTATCAAAATAAATATTAAAGTTGCACAATTTTAGATTTATTGAAACGTTTCTACTTTTATCAATATTTATTTCCGACCCTGTCGTCGTTTAGGTTTACAATAACGTGAATATTTTTAATATAAAAACGGACGATAAAGTAATTAAATAGTATACGATGAATTTGACAATATAATAGGTGTTTGTTCGGGAATTCACAAACAAAACTGCTGTCGCGCATTTACGGCGCCGAATTAGTCAATTCCGTAGCAAAAAGGCCGTTCTGCTGTAACGCAGTCACAGCGCCAAGTGGAAAATTCACTGATACAGAAATCAAAATTGCCGATTTCTCCGTCTTTTAAGCGTCTGTAGTAAATGTGAATATTTCGTTCGAAAGATACTTCTTTTCTTAGGTAACGTGCAAAATTTCAGGCTATTCTATAGAGGAGTTGCCGAAATATAAGCAGTTGAAAAGTGCAAAGATCTGCATAAAAGCCGTAACTTTTCTCTTTCTCATTCATTTGGCGGTGCAGATGGTACTAGACAAAGAACACCACTGGGTCTAGAGAGCTCAAATTTTAAACTTAAG